TTTAATATATATATATATATAAAAAAGAAGGGAGGATTCTAACCCACCGGGAACACGGGGAAGAGTCACTTCATTTCTTTTTTAAAAAAAAAAAAAAAATAAAAAAAGCATTTAGTGAAAATAAAGCTCAGTCCAACGGCTGCTCCGAGACCCCGGAGACGTGGGGGCAGGACCCCCCCCCTCCCTGGTGGGGAAACAGCCGTGGAACGACCCCTCCTTCCAGCTTATTTTGTTTAAAATCCCAACTCCCAATGCCCCCCTTTTCCTTTTGTGGGGGCGAGTCCGTCCCGTCCAGGGAGGGAGGTGGGTTTGGAGGTGAGATATCAAAAGGGAGCCACGCTATAAAAAAGGGGAAGGGGTTTTGGAGGTGGTGCCCGTGGGGCAGGGGAAGGGACCGGAGCGGCTGCGTTTGGTCCTTTTGCTTAAGAAATACTGTTTAAAAAAAAAAACAACAAAATAAAAACAAAACACAAAGCAAGCCCCTTCCGCTGATCTCCCTCCACCTGCGACTCCCTGCTCGGTGGGGAAGGGATGGAAGGGCTGAGTTTAAAAACTGGGGGGACACGAAGGGATCTGGAATGTCCCCAATGTCCCAAAAGCTCGGCAGGTTGGGAGTCCTTGGAGCACGGAGGGGCTGGTGGGGGACAGGAGCCCGGCCACAGCATCTGCTCCCCCCTTTTCTGCCTCCCCCACGAGATACTTTCTGGTTGAACACTGAAAAAAAAAAGAAAAAAAAACCCAAAAAATCCTATTTATTTTAAAAAATAAAATAAGAATGCCTATACTGCAGGAGTAAGAAGTGATATGACTGAATTCAGAGAAACACTTAAATTAAAAACTTGTTTAAAATACAAAATAAACCCACGCTGCTCCGTCGCAAACCGCCCCGAGGAGGCTCTAATGCCCGTTTCCCCCCGGGAACTCCAAAGAGCCCCCCCTTTCTCACAAGGTTTGTGGTGTCGGAAGCGGGTAAACTCCCTGAAAGTCAGAGCCCTCCTTCCAGAGGGCTTCAGGCCACGCGGAGCAATTCTTCCTCCTTCCTCCTCCTCCTCCTCCTCTCAGCTCCTGCCAGGCTTCAGAGAGAGGAGGAGAGCAGGGCCACGGGGTGGGCTCTGCCCAAAGGAGAATTTTCCAGGTGTCCGAGGCTCAGCTCGGTCTCTGTGAGCACTATCCCACTACGTGCAGCCCGAGCCTTCCAGCCTTTAGGGTTCTGTCCAGATAAGGTTTCCGTTTTTTTTTTTTTTTTTTTCTGTTTTTTTTTCTTAAAAAAAATAATATAATAAATCAGCGACGGGGGCTGAACGTTTATCAGACACGCAGAGCACAGAACAATCTACTTCCATCGCGGAGGTCTCGGCGTTGCTTCACTGCAGAGAGAAAAAAAAGAAGGGGGAGATGCTGGGGAGGGTCTGCTTTCCTCTGAGGAAGAGCAGCAGGGGGTCTCCTGCCTGACCTCCCCCCCCCCCAAAAACCTTCTCCACCCCGGCAGAGGCAGCGCTGAGGGGGTGGGAGTGGGATCTCGGGGTCAGGCTGGTCCCAACAATTTAATTCACATTAAAACAGGGTGAGCTTTCACCTACCAGAGGGGGATAAGAACTTCTCCTCCTGCTCTGGTGGACTCATACCACCCAGTATCCCCGTTCCCAGCACAACTGGGGACCACACAACCCCACCAACTCTCCACCTGCCCAGTGTCCCCGTTTCCAGCACAACTGGAGACCACACAACCCCACCAACCCTCCACCTGCCCAGTATCCCCATTCCCAGCACAAGTGGGGACCACACAACCCCACCAACTCTCCACCTGCCCAGTATCCCCATTTCCAGCACAACTGGGGAGACCACACAACCCCTGCAACTCTCCACCTGCCCAGTATCCCCCTTCCCAGCACAAGTGGGGACCACACAACCCCACCAACCCTCCACCCTCCCCCAGAGCCACACAGGGGACACTCACAAAGCTTATCTCCGTCTCCTGCAGGTCTTCGAGCTGCTCTCTCAGCTCCGGGGAGGGCTCGGGGATGGAAGGTCCTGGGGAGCCGCTGGGGAAACACAAGGGGGAGACCTGTAAAGCAGTTTTTAGAAGTGAGCTGTCAGTAAGTCCCATCTCCAGGGCTGCACCCAGCCAACGGAGCGGCCCAGCAGGGCACGGAGGCGTTCGTTGGGCAGGTTTAACGTGGAGACACACCACCAGCCCTGCTGGGGCAGGCACCCGAAACACCACCTAGAAAATCATCCCACCCCCGAGTCGACAGGACTTCAGTTATTAGGAAGGAGGATATTTTTCTCCAGGAGAGCAGCAGCACCGCTTTACAGAACTCTTCAAGCACCTCAGCGACAGAGAATTCGTGCTCCTGGGTGAAAACAGTCCAGGGACAAAGAAACCAGGAAGCACCGGAGCTGGGCGAGTCGTAGCCCTGCCAGGCAGAGGCACCCGTGTCCCAAAAAGCCCCCAACAAACCTTTTACAAACCTTTTACACTCTGTATCCTGACAGCAGGATACACGACATGGGCACACCGAGCGCCTGCTGGGACACTCTGCCAAGGAGGAGAGGTGGGGCACGGAAGAAATCTTGCTTTATTCTAATACCCTGTTAGTTCCCCACTTTTTTTTTTCAGGATCCTCCAGCAAAACGGTTAAACCTGCTGGCTGAGGAACCCCAGCTCCCAGAAGTGGGTCCTGCCCCACTTCTTCCCGAGATTTGGTGACCACAGTGTCCCTCCTCACCCCCAGAGTGAGAAGTCACGTCTGTGAGTGTGTAACTCCCCCAGGCTGAGCACTGGTGACTAACAGAGGAGCTTTCAGGGCTGCCCAGGGTCGGCAGGACCCGCTCAGCCCTCCTGCAGCTCACACCCTGGGCTTGTCTCAGCCTGCCTGCAGTGCTTGCCTTAATTAGTGGGTATTTGATTGCCTGTTGCCCAAGTACAGGAAGCATGGAGCTGTTTGGTCACCAGGCTACACGTCACCCCATGCAAACACCCCTGGATCCACACCAGAATGGAGACAGGGGGACCCTCACCGGGAAGGTCCAGCTCCTGCTCTGCCTGATGGCACCTCACCTACGTTCCTCGTCACTCTTAGCTGCTCTGGCCTCCTCCTCCTCCTCCTCCTCTGCTGCTGTGCTCTCTACGGGGCGACTCGCTGCTTCTGACCCATGTTCCCTGTTACTCTCAGTTGCTGTGCTCTCCTCCTCCTCCTCCTCCGCTGCTGCTGAGCTCTCTATGGGGCGACTCGCTGCTTCTGACCCATGTTCCCTGTTACTCTCAGTTGCTGTGCTCTCCTCCTCCTCCTCCTCCTTTGCTGAGCTCTCTACCAGGTGACTCGCTGATTCCGACGGACGCTCCCCGTTACTCTGAGCTGCTCCAGCTCCATCCTCCGCTGAGCTTTTTGACAGGCGACTTGCTGGTTCTGACCCACGTTCCCCGTCACTCTCCACTGCTCTGGCTTCATCCTCCTCCTTTGCTGAGCTCTCTAATGGGCAACTCGCTTCTTCTGACCCACGTTCCCCATTACTTTCAGTTGCTGTGGCCTCCTCCTCCACTGCTGAGCTCTCTAGCAGGAGACTCGATGATTTTGACCCACGTTTCCCATCACTTTCAGCTGTTCTGGCTCCATCCTCTGCTGCTGAGCTGTCTAAGAGGTGACTCACTGATTCTGATAGATGTTCCCCATTACTCTGAGGTGCTCTGGCTCTACCTTCTGCTGAGCTTCTTGATGGGCGCCTCACTGATTCTGACCCACGTTCCCCATTACTCTGAGGTGCTGTGGCTTCATCAGCTGAGCTTTTTGACGGACGCCTCGCTGATTCTGACCCACGTCTCCCATTACTCTGAGGTGCTCTGGCTCTACCTTCTGCTGAGCTTCTTGATGGGCGCCTCGCTGATTCTGACCCACGTTCCCCACTACTCTGAGGTGCTGTGGCTTCATCAGCTGAGCTTTTTGACGGACGCCTCGCTGATTCTGACCCACGTCTCCCATTACTCTGAGGTGCTCTGGCTCTACCTTCTGCTGAGCTTCTTGATGGGCGCCTCGCTGATTCTGACCCACGTTCCCCATTACTCTGAGGTGCTGTGGCTTCATCAGCTGAGCTTTTTGACGGACGCCTCGCTGATTCTGACCCACGTCTCCCATTACTCTGAGGTGCTCTGGCTCTACCTTCTGCTGAGCTTCTTGATGGGCGCCTCGCTGATTCTGACCCACGTTCCCCACTACCCTGAGTGGCTCTGGCTCCATTGGCTGAGCTTTTTGACGGGCGCCTCGCTGACTCTGACCCACGTCTCCCATTACTCTGAGGTGTTCTGGCTCTATCTTCTGCTGAGCTTCTTGATGGGCACCTCACTTCTTCTGACCCACGTCCCCCATTACTTTCAGTTGCTGTGGCCTCCTCCTCCACTGCTGAGCTCTCTAGCAGGAGACTCGATGATTTTGACCCACGTTTCCCATCACTTTCAGCTGTTCTGGCTCCATCCTCTGCTGCTGAGCTGTCTAAGAGGTGACTCACTGATTCTGATAGATGTTCCCCATTACTCTGAGGTGCTCTGGCTCCATCCTCTGCTGAGCTTCTTGATGGGCGCCTCACTGACTCTGACCCACGTTCCCCACTACTCTGAGTGGCTCTGGCTCCATTGGCTGAGCTTTTTGACGGGCGCCTCGCTGATTCTGACCCACGTCTCCCATTACTCTGAGGTGTTCTGGCTCTATCTTCTGCTGAGCTTCTTGATGGGCACCTCACTTCTTCTGACCCACGTCCCCCATTACTTTCAGTTGCTGTGGCCTCCTCCTCCACTGCTGAGCTCTCTAGCAGGAGACTCGATGATTTTGACCCACGTTTCCCATCACTTTCAGCTGTTCTGGCTCCATCCTCTGCTGCTGAGCTGTCTAAGAGGTGACTCACTGATTCTGATAGATGTTCCCCATTACTCTGAGGTGCTCTGGCTCTATCTTCTGCTGAGCTTCTTGATGGGCGCCTCGCTGATTCTGACCCACGTTCCCCATTACTCTGAGGTGCTGTGGCTTCATCAGCTGAGCTTTTTGACAGACGCCTCGCTGATTCTGACCCACGTCTCCCATTACTCTGAGGTGCTCTGGCTCTACCTTCTGCTGAGCTTCTTGATGGGCGCCTCGCTGATTCTGACCCACGTTCCCCATTACTCTGAGGTGCTGTGGCTTCATCAGCTGAGCTTTTTGACGGACGCCTCGCTGATTCTGACCCACGTCTCCCATTACTCTGAGGTGCTCTGGCTCTACCTTCTGCTGAGCTTTTTGACGGGCGCCTCGCTGACTCTGACCCACGTCTCCCATTACTCTGAGGTGCTCTGGCTCTATCTTCTGCTGAGCTTTTTGACAGGCGCCTCGCTGACTCTGACCCACGTTCCCCATTACTCTGAGGTGCTCTGGTTTTATCTTCTGCTGAGCTTCTTGATGGGCGCCTCGCTGATTCTGACCCACGTTCCCCACTACCCTGAGCAGCTCTGGCTCCATCCTCCACTGCTGACCTCTCTAACGGGTGACTTGCTTCTTCTGACCCACCTTCCACGTTACTTTCAGCTGCTCTGGCCTCCTCTGCCTTTGAGCTCCCTATGGAGTGACTCTCTGACTCTGCCCCACGTTCCTCATTGCTCTGAGCTGTTCTGGCTCCATCCTCTGCTGAGCTTTTTGACAGGCAACTCGCTGATTCTGACGTACGTGCCCCATCGCTCTCAGCTGCTCTGACTTCTTCCACTGCTGGCCTCTCTAAGGGGCAACTTGCTTCTTCTAACCCACGTTCCCCGTCACTCTGAGCTGCTTTGGCCTCCTCTGCTGTTGAGCTCTTTGACAGGGGACTTGCTGCTCCTGACCTACGCAGAAATTAAAGGTGAGGATGCTCAGTTTGGGTTACAGCACAGATAGAACCTTGAAGGTTGTCTTAATGAGCCCTACAGCCCTAACGCAGGGCTGCAGGATGAATCGCAGCATCATTTAGGTTGGAAAAGACCCTTTTTATGGAGCTCAACCCTTAACCCAACACCACCAAGCCCACCACTAAATTACAGTGCTTAAAAGAAACAGAAGTGCCCCTTCTCAAAGGCAGCATTCGTTCCTAAGACAGATCTGGAGCAGGACAGATCCTGCCACCCCCCCGTACCACCCCTAGAAGGGTAGCAGCTCTAGTGGGAGAGATTTGGGGTGAGATCACTCCCCTTTGTACAGGACTATAGAGGTTTGTTGCCTCCCCAAAGCGTGGTAAACACCCCCCCTAGAGTGGCTGAGTCTGTAGAAAGGGGAAACAAAAAAACCCCAACATATTTTAAAATCCATTCAAGGAGTGATGTTGTTATAAATACACAATCCACAAATCGCCTTCATCCTTCCCAGGGTTTGCAGAGCTTTAGGGCTCTCCCGAGTGGATTTACGGATCCTGCCAAAGTGGCTTTAAGGCTCTGACAACAGCCCTGACGTGGGGAGCTCACACCCCAGGGCCCCACAGAGGAGAGGGCACCGGGCTGTTCTCCCTCCTGCATTTCATTACACCCTCTGGCACTGGCACACGGTTTTACGGGCTGTTGGCAAAGGGTAAGGAGGTGCTGGAGCACCCGTAGGGTACGGGACGCAGCCAGCTCTGCTCCAGGGACAAACAAAGACCAGGCTCTGCATCTGAGGAACCTCTTGAGACTCAACCCAGAGGAGCAGCAGGTTCCATCTGACCCACCAGAACCTGTGCTTTCAGCAAGACGGGTGCACAGTGCCCTGTGGGGTGAGGAGGAGACCATCCTGAGAGGTTCTCCCTCTGAGTCTTAGAGCAGACAGACAGGTTACAGGCTGCTGGGCCTTGGCACGGGGCATGCTGTGGCACAGCCCTGCATTTCAGGAGGGAGCTGACTTCACAGAACCTCTGCAACCACTGGCCAGCGACAAGCAGGAGGCCAAATTCCCAGGGGAAGTCTCCCTGAGCACACCCTGACACGGGAGAAGGGTTCAGGCAGAGTCTGGTTCCTCCTCTCACCTAGACAGGAAGATGCCAAGAGCTGCTCTAGTCAAATCCTTTGCTGAGCTGTCAGCTTTATGCACTTGTGCGCCCACTGACCTACGTGGAGATCGAAGGAGAGAGACCCGCCGTTAAGGAAGTGAACAAGAACACCCCGGGCATGCTGACGTACTGGAAAGGAGCAGCTCTGGTTTAGGATCCCTACCAAGAAGTTTCCCTCTTTTACAGAGGGAGTGAGAGGCTTTAATTACAATTGTGTCCTGTTTTCCTGCAGCTCAGGAGAGAGCAGACACTGGGGCAGTGCTGCCGCGCAGGCAGCGGGTCAGGAATGGGGAAGATGGTTTCTGATGGCCTCCAGGAAGAGAAGTTAACTCCTCACAACAACTTCTCTGAAAAGGGATCGTCCTCTGACCACAGCTCCTCCTCCTCCCTGCAGCTCCCACCACTTCAGCAAGAAAACAAACATCCAAAGGCAGCCACCAGCCCCCTCAGGGCCGTCCATGCATTCAGCTTCCAAAACTTTCCGACCCCTCCTGCGCATGTCAGGAGCTCAGTGCTGACCCAAGAGAGCCCAACCCTCTGAGAAGAGCAGCAGGAGGGTCATTTCCAGCATCACCCATCGCCACATTAATGCTCTCCACGTACATCTTGGCAGAGACACTTTCACCAACTCACTCCAATTAGCACAATTACCTCAACTCCAGAACAAAGCCACTAAATACAGAACACACAAGGGACCACAAGCCACTGGGACCCCCACACAGCCCAAGCAGGAGATGCAAGACCAGGACATCTGTAAAGAACTGCATAAAAAGTGACACGATGCTCCCCCCTTGCACATGCTCGAACCGACACCACACGGACCACTGGAAGGGGAGTTCCTGCAGGCATGCCAAACCCCAAAACATCCAGAAAGCGGCACAAAGTCCTCCCAGGGCTCAGGAACCCGACTCCTGGAGCTTCTGGGCCTGCCATGCGTTGGACCAGAGAGAGCCCTACCTGTTTGCGGGCGAGTTGAGGCCTCCGCTGCCCAGGGAAGACGTGGAGAGGGTGGTGACGATGGAGTCGCTGTTGGCTTCGTCCGCCGGCAGGGTCCTGGGCAGGAGATCTGGGCGACCAAGGTGGGAACCTGAGTTGAAGCACAGACTGGTTCCATCACCAGCACAACTGGGAGCGTGCGGCACGAGCTCCCAACGGTGTCCGTGCTGGATCCCACCAAAGACATCCAAGAGACCCGAGGACTGGAGAACCAGCCCTGAAGGCAGTTCTCTGCTCCAAGTCCAAACCCCGGCCTGACCACCAAGCCCAATTTCTCCCCTGGCACAAGACAAGCTTCTGGGACAAGCCCAGGCCCACAGGACTGTCACATCTTGGCCCACCTCCCATGGGGAGCACGGACCACGCCGGATGCTTAGAGGAGGCTGAAAGATCCCATGAAGAAACAATTCCCCAACCTGGTCTCATCCTGATGTGAGCAAAGACTGGCTTTTACCAAAACACAAGGTCTATCACCCTGCCCTGCATTTGCTGCCACACAATACTTGGGAACAGCCCCTGAAGGGCTCACTGCCCCTCCAGCCTCTCCCACGAGTTGGCTGACTTGGTGAATACGAGTTTTTGGCCCCGTTTTGTTTCCTGCACCCACAACCCCAGAAAACAGGGGCTGGCAAGACCACAAAACAACGTGGGGGTGTCTCGCACAGCTTGGGGGGGTCAGCAAGCTCCGATGAGACAAACACAAGCTGGAAAAATAACTTCTCTGGGCACTAACCTTTCTCTACGTCCGCCTCCGTCGTCACTTGTGCTTTTGTCTCGCACGACACGTGCGACTGGGAAGGCACTCCTCCTTGGCAGCTCCGCCGAGGAACCGCTGTGCCAGACCGGCTCTTCTTAGAAGGGGATGGCTTTACTTAAAGACACAAAAAAAAAAAAAAACAAACCCAGAAAACATTTTTCTAACACATTCAGGAAGGAATCAAAAACCTGACGCAGCAAGTTCCCAGCGACAGAGTCTGTCACGAGGGCTGTGCCCTGAAGGAACAAGCTGACGGGTGAAACAGCTCCTAGAAAGTGACATCTGTGAGGCAAGAGTGATCTGGGAGGAAGGAAGGGGTGACACAGCACCAGAGACTTCCTAAAGCTCTCACACGCCACCGTCCCCCTGCCCAAACCACGGCTGCTGAGCAGGGAGAAGACAGAAACCATGGCAAATGCAAGGTACTTACGTGGTATTTTCTTGAAGGCTGTGTTGCACATGAACTGTTGGAACCTTTCGGCGTAGAAGCTGGGTCTGTGCACAGATACGGTGTCCTAGAAGTCCAAAGGACAAACATTAACACGTGAATCTGAATTAATAAGCAATCACAGTTAACATGAGCTTCCCCCAGGCCATTAGCCCTGAAACACACTGTGTTGGACTAGGAACAGCCAGGGACCCTCAGAGCTGCTCCCACCAGCAGCTGAGAGAAGCAATTAGCTACAAGCAGTAGGTGTTCTATACAAAGCAATCAAGGCTTGTTAATGAACGAGCTCACAACCAACATTAACAAAACCAATGATTCTGAGAGTCCATAGAAAGTAATATTTTATACAAGAGGGCAAACACACACATGGCTTTAGAAATCCACAAATACCCAGAAGGAGCAAGGAGAGCAGCCACAGTTTGGAAAGACACTGCTATTCTTGCCAAACGGGTTAAAAAGTGGTGTATTTGTACTCACCCCATCGTGTACAAGGGCCTTCCAAGAGTGTTCCAGCTTCTTGACAAATCTGACAGAGGAGAGGATTAAGAGCAGTTTTCAGAGCAGGTCCCTGGTCCGTATCGTGTGGGGCTGGCTCGGTACCGAGCCCGGCTGCTGACCACAGTGGCCAACAAAGCCCCAAAAAAGCCAACTCCTTGGGCTTCAGATTCTCTTCATTATCCCATTTCTCTAAGACTGTGCCACAGCCCCCGGGGCCGATTGCACGGGTCACTGTCCCCAGGGGAGAGTTTCAGAGGTGTCACGAGTGAGGACAGTTAACTTGCAATGACGTTTAACAGAGAGGTCACACAGGTAACCCTCTGCCGATTGCATTTTAATATAAATAGAAGAAAAGTCAACCCTTAACAGCTATTTTTCATTTTAGGGGAGAAGTGGTTATGGCCGTTTTAAGCCATTGCTTGTTTTTTCCTTGCCACTTCCTGCACAGTGCCTGTGTACAACCACCACAGACACAAAACCAGCTTCACAACAGTAAATCTATTCCGGGAACATGAAGTAAATACAGTAAGAAATACCCAGAAATTGATCCCAAAATGCAAGACCCAGAAATCGACCCCAGAAAGTCCGACTTCAAGGAAACAGCGGTACAGAAATAAAAATAATTATGGTTGTGTCTTAACTATTTCTGGAGGACCAAGGAGGGGCAGACAGTGCTGGAGAGCACCTTCTCCCCGAGGTGTCTCTTACCTGTAGGACTGGAGCACGTCGATGATGCCGATGTAGAGCAGCAGCCTCTCCCCCCTGGCGTTGCGGGCGGGAATGCCCCCCATCCTGGGGAGGAGAGGGCACAGAGGTGAGGCAGGGTGTTCTCACACCATCATCACACCAACTATTTAACAAGAGCCAACAACAGGAGGCACCAACCATTCAGCCAACAGATGGGGGAACAAGGCAGAGGAAAACACCGTTTCATTGAGTTAAAGTCAGCTAAACCTCCTGAGAACTGAGCCCTGTGCCCTCCCTATGAGGATTTTATTCAAGATGAGGATTAATCCCATCTCATCCACGAGAGGAGACCAAGCAACTGTAAAGAGCGTCTGCGACCACCCGTAGCGAGATGGCAGCTGGAATTTATGGGCTGTTCCTCTGATTTAACAACGCGCTCGCTCTGTCTCTTACAGGTGGATGGAAATAACCAGTTGTAGCCGCCGATAACCGGCAGGCAGAGAATCTCTAATCCCACCTGGAAGGTGAGAAAAATCTTCTGTGCTCTAAGGAAGCAAAAATCAAAGTTAAAAGCACAGAATGGGACATCCAGACCTCTCCATCCTGCGTGACAGCAACCCTGCACAGCACTGCCTGCGCCTAAGTTAAGTCTCCATGAGCCACGCTTGGGTTTTACCCCTCTCCCCTGGCAGTGTTTCACTGGGAACAGTGACACACACTTACTGGTCGTCTGTCTCTATGGTGCCACCTCGCCGGGCCTCTCCCTGGATGGACTCCATGGCTGTGGAGTAGAGGGCCTTCTGGGCAGCCGGTCGCCGCGTGTCGGTCTGGGACGTCCCGTCGGCCATGGCGTGCTCTCGCTGGGCCAGGTCGATGTTATGGATTGCAACGAGCAAACTGTAGTCCATGATTTTAAAGCTCTGCAGGACCTGGGCAAGAAAGTCAACAAAGGCTCAATGGCAGCCCCAGTGAAACCCTCAGAGCAGACGTCTGCAGAAACAACCTCAGCATTTTTGCCCAGAGCCCTCAGCGTATCGAGGGGATGGAATTAATCCCTGGCTCGTGCACACTCAACCCATCAGCAGCCACCAAAGAGAGTCAGAGGAAGCCAGTGGTGACCCAAGACAGGGGACAACACTGACTTCAGCACGGCCACCCGACCTGAGACCAGACTCAGTCAAACATCCCACCCCTCTCCCCAGAGCCTGCCCTGCTCCAGAGCTCAGCCTTGGCAGAGGGGGCTCCTCCACCTCCAGATTTCAGGTTGGAAATCTTGAATGAAATTGGTCTCCAATTCCTGCTTCTTCTCCACACCAAAAAAAAACAGGTTCTCTAAGTCAACACAGAGGCTACAAGGTGGCAACTGTCACCTCCTTTCAACGGGAAAGGCTCAGAAAAAAAGAGGAGAGACCTCTCCACACCACCCTGCACCCTTCCACTTACCAAACAGTCTCTCTGTAACGTTTTGCACAGAGCGTTGTACATGTCAGAGTCCAGGAAGAGGCCATCGGGGATGTCCTGCATAAAATCCAAGTCCTTGTACGTTGGGAAGACCTTCTCTCTCTCCTTCTGGGACGCTCGGCGTTTGTAGGTGGAGCCCTTCAGGTCGTATTTGAGGTGCATTTTGACGGAGCGTGGCAGCAGGTTGTTCATCACAACGATGCGAATGTTTTTGCCCCCGGCCTGGACACAGTACAGGCCGTAAAACTTTGGCAGCAGCGTCCTTGGGTTCTGGTTCAAGTTCTGAAACGCCACAGAGAAAAGAAATACCTTCAAAAACCCTTCTGGTTAGAGGAGTTCTTTGCTCCTTCCTGTGCTTCTCTATTTGAAACAGAGCTGGCAAGGACTCAGAGCCAAAGAGGCTCCGAGACAAGGGCAGGTGAGCACAGGGAACAGATGGGGGACGTCTATGTCCATTAATAACCTCTCTGCAAAGCTGAACGGGTCAGAGGAAGAGCGTAGGCTGAAGGCAGGACTTTGCTGCTCAGTCACACAGAAACTAAGCTGGGGAGGCTTTGGAGCAAAGGAAGGTCTTGTGCCTTTTTAAATTGGGCACTTGGGTCAAGCTCAGGACATCAGGGTAGAGGTGGATCTAAACTCTCGCGGCTGCAGAAGGCACTAGAGAGAGTTTTGAAGAAAAACAATGTGGTTCTGGGACACAACCACAGCATATACATCTGCGGGTTCGGAAGCAGTTTAAGGAATTCAGCTACTGGCCCCACCAGCATCAAAACTCCTGAGGCAAGACTATCTCGTGGCTAAATTCCCTTTTGCTGGAGACACACGTGAGTCAGATCGATCACACACACAACGTGTTCAGTTTTGCTTCAGAACTGATGAAGCCTTTCTTGCTATAGCCACTTTCATAAAATTAATACGCCTTTACTCTCAAAGCTGCTGTTAGAAACTTAAAAATCCAAGTTCTTCAACTCTTTCTCTTTGCAGACAGAACTGAGCACAGTCCTGGGAAGGGAAACACGAGGCCAGCTGTCCCAAGACCAAATACCACGGGGGTGACGCTGGGCAGCACGGAAGCAATGAACGGTGACGAAAGGGCCTGTCACCTTCCAAAAGGGTCCCAATCACAACGTGGAACCCGAGAGCCCTGTGCTGCACGCCAGGCTCGTGACACCCTGGCAGCCAGGGTCAGTGCGTGACTGTCTTTGTCACCAGACAGTTGAGAGAGAAGCTGACACTCAGCTGGGGCACAGAGCAACCCCCCTACTCACATCTACCAGCAGCATCTGTCAAATTGTACATCTGGGGGGCCCTTCCCTGCCTCGCAGAGAAAGGGGGACTCACCATGTAGTAGCCAGGCAGCAGCTTCTGTAAGAACTCGGCCTCTTTGTGCTGAACCGTTTTGATGATGAACTCGTCGTCGCTGGAGACATAGAAGAGGGACCCACTGGCCCCGGAGTTTGAAAGTTCAATGAGGGGCTCACTGCAGAGCGAGCACTGGGGACAAGGAGAGAAACACAGAGGTGAGGGACACAGCAAGGGGAAACTCCATCGCAAAGGCTCTTCCTTTTAAGCATCATTCCTTTTTTTTTTGGTCAGAGTTAGGTTGATAGTTGGACTAGATGATCCATTGGATCATCACTAGTTGGACTAGATGATCCATTAGATCATCCGTTGGATCATCTAGTGATGATGGATGGGTGGACTAGATGGTCCCTTCCAACCTAGACGATTCTCTGATCCACAGAGGCAAACCCCACATCAGCATCCACTGCTGCCCTTACAGAGCTTGCCAGGGGTCTCACAGCACCCCACGAGGGGGAAGAGGACAAAGACCCGTCGCAAAGAGCACCCAAAAAATGGCAACCTGGTCCAACTCACCAGATAGTCATCGGGTCGGATCCCAAACAGCTCCCGGAAATAGCGAAAGGCCACTGGGGCGTAGGTTTTGAACCGAAAGTCGTTGTAGTGATGAGCTGGGGTGAGGTTACTCCCTTCGCTGGTCAAGGAGAGAAGCACACACACACACACAAGTAATTTGTACTTGAAACATTTCTGAAGAAACTGCCCTAAAAAGCAAACACCCACTGGCTGCTTCCAACACACCGAGGGCTCGAAATCCCCCACCCGACAGGGACGTGCGTGGGCACACACAGCAGCAAGCCCACGTCAGGGACTAATGCTGCTTCCCAACCTCAAAGCACCAGAGAGAGAGAGGGAGGCAAGCACCAACCTTGGGAAGAAAATGCTTTCTACTACGTAGAAATCTTGCATGAGAACATCTCTTTCGGGTTTAGTGCTCAAGCTTCCGACTGTGTGTGTAATGCCCAGCTGAATGGCACCTTTCAAGGCAGATGATGTTGTCTGGAGGGGCAGAGAAAACGAGTTAGACAACGTGGGGCAGCAGACTGGAAACAGGAGTGAAAGGAGTTGTAGAAGAGAGAGCCCCCAGTTTCAAAGAGCACTGTTAGCTGGGGTGTTTTACACCTACTGGTTCCAGCTTCTCTCATTTCTTGCATGGCTTTGGCCATGGGAACACCTGGGAACACCCCTTCATCCCCGACAGCATCCTACTGGGAATTTGCACTCCGGGTGGCTGAGCAGTAAAGGACTTAACTGGAATCAACATCCAGCTGGTCCTTAAAAGGACTGAATTTCATTTCATCCTCCCACACTCATCTCTACACCCTGCAGTCAGAGGGGGGAGACGTCCAGGGACAGATTATCTTGTGCCTCTAGGAATAAACACACCTTTTGACACCTTGCTCTGCCAGGTCTTGGAATTATAAGCTTGGAAGCTTGTCCCTCCCCAGCCTGGACACAGACTTGGGTGTTGTGGTGTTCTGCAGGACCAGCACACCAGGGTTAGCACACAACACACGCTTCTGTGTGGTGCTACCACATCCCTCCGTCTGCCTCCCTTCCTGGGCTGGGGCTCTTGAATCCCAAGGAGTTCACTGTCATCTTTAAATAAGGAGGGAAGAGAGGAATCCCACTCCCACATCCTCTGCACAAACTGCCCCAGAACAATGTAGGGCTGTGTTCTCCTACTCACACCAAGAGCCCTCTTCTGTCTGCGAAGCACATGAGCTCATCTCGGACCACTGGGACGTGCTTCAGCCCAGCTCCAGCCACGGGCTCTTTCCCAGAAGATCCCAGATGAGATCTGCTCCACGGCCCCTCCGGTCCCAGAGCACGGAGCCCTGGGCTCTGCTGGACAGGCTGAGGCCGCAGAGCAGGTGCTGCTCAGATTTGTGCAGCTCAGGGATGTGTCACTTGGCTCACACATAAAGCAACGGGACCCAAAGAAGATCCAGGGCTCAGGATCTAACTCGCTCAGATTTGTTTCCTTAAGCCCAACAAAGCCCAGCCCCTGCCACGTGCAAGAAATCACCACGGATCAAAGCGTTTGGTGGTATCTGGGGGACAAACATTTGAAGTCTTTTCCCCAGACACACAAATTCCCCTGAATTTGAAAACAAAGGGGAGCGTTTCCCCCACTTAACTGTTTTTCTGTTACCAGAGCTGCCAGAGAACTGCTGGGGCTCCCTGAAGAGAGCAACAAACCCCGGCAGTAACTCCAGCTGGATGCAGCCCTTCCGACTGCAGCCACGTGTCTATCTGACATTTACCTAGGTATTAGGTGGGGAAGGAGGAAGAACTTAACTCCACCTTCCTTCCTCACCCTCTGAAGGCTAAAGGTGCTGAAAATAGATCTCAGCTCAGCTCACCTTGCCCTGCTTAAACCCCCAGGGCTCCCTCAGAGATGGGAAACAGAACGAAGCTGAGGGCGCAGCATCGCTGCCTTGTTTGTGAACACAGAGCCACGGCGCCAGGTTGCCAAGGAACAAGTATTTTTTTTTTTTTTTCTCTTCTATTAGCCAGCAGGATCAGCTGAGCAGCTGACTGCCTGTTTACGACTGCTTTTATAGGGCAAAGAATTTAAAAAAAAACAACTTCCCACCCCTGGAAGAGGCGGGGATGGAAAACAGAGCATCCACGAGTCTCATCCCCAGATAAATCCCATGCGGTGTCCCACCAGCTTTCTGGGACATTTCAGGCATTTTCCACTGGCTTCTACTTTTCTCTCCCATGACTGCTGTCTGACCTCCTCTCGCTGAACTTGCTGGGGAACTGAAAGCCTGATCCCAGTCCTGGAGACAGGAATTGTGTCCAAAAGGGCAGTATAACTGCTGGATTCTGTGGAAACACCGTTTGAACCCGCTCCGACACGGACAGGCAGAGGGAGCCTCATCTGAATCTCAGATTTCAGACCAGCAGCTTCACACAAAGCAGTGATGTGCCCCTGTCAAGCCTTCACCCCGTTTAATCTACATCCTAGAAGTCAATCTCACTTCAGAAAAAGCCAGCCCGTTCTGATCAAGTCCAACAAACTGGAAGCAGCACCCACAAAATACCCACGTTTACAGACTCTTCAAAAATACCCAAACAATGACCCCTTTGTAAAGCAAATTCCAGTAACAGCCACAAGATCTATAGAAACTATTGTGCCCAAAGAGCAGGGAAAGCACCCAAGGAGCCAGAAGAGGCCTAGGAAGTGTTGCTAACGGGCAAAGTTTAAAAATAATCCTCTTTTTTAGAAGGCTACAGAAGAGAAGCACATGTTCAGCCCTTTGGTTCCTTTCCTTTGAGACCTCCAGCCCCTGTCACAGCCACTACCCACCGAGACCGCTCTGGGCCCCACGGACACGGCCAAGGGGAGAATAAGAGTCAAATGAGTTGGGCAAGAGGCAACTTACCTTTTTGTAGGTAGTTTCACCCGTGGAGTCCACTCCTCTGTGCCCTTTCTTTATCGTCTGTGAGCCCGGCTGCCCAGAGCCACCCGGCATCTAGGGTTGGAGTAAAAGATGGTAAGAATCGAGGATTTAAAACTCAACTTCAAGTCCAGTGGCTGCCCAGAGCCACCCGGCATCATTTGGCTTTTCTTAAAGACGGAGTGAAGTGCTGAAGGCCCAGGTCACCACCCTCTCTGCCAGGAAGGCGGAGGCTTTGAGGAAACATTTTGGGAAGGTGGCAAATTCTGCTGTGATTCACGCCACAAGAGCTCCCTTGACTCATCGCCTTCCAACACACGTGGTTGGTAAATGGGGTTTCTCACTCTGGACGTCTCGCTGGCGGCACAACCTCTACGGGGTGTTTTGGCAGCACCAGAATCCTTCTGTTTCAGGACAAGATTCTCTTCGTAAGGAGAGATTCCCTGATTTCCCCAACGAGTGTCTGCAACTCCCTGAACCTCCCCCCCTTGCCTGGTTTCCCCCAAACTCCTCTGCTCTTTTTCCAGTCTCACTCAGGGCTGGAACTGGGTGTTCTCTCAGCTGGGGAACAAACCAACTTGTGGCTCAGAAACTTACCTCGGGGGTGAGCGATTTTTTGAAAGTAGATGAACCTGTCAACCCCCAAACTCCTCTGCTCTTTCTCCAGTCTCACTCAGGGCTGGAACTGGGCGTTCTCTGAGCCGGGGAACAAACCAACTTGTGGCTCAGAAACTTACCTCGGGGGTGAGCGATTTTTTGAAAGTAGATGAACCTGTCAAGAGAAAAAAAAAGCCACACTCAGAAAGAGTTAATGGTTATTATGCATCACCAAAAAAGAGCCTGACGCCCCGCCTCGGTTCCAACCTTTTTAGGCATCTGAAAAAAGCACTGACTCATGGCTGATTTCTTCCCGGCTTCTCCTCTTACAGCAGAGAGAGTTTTCATCGAGCCACAGGGAAATGTGATTCTGCTTATTCTGCTCATCCCTCGCCAGCCAAGCTCAGCTCTGGGCCCAGGCTACGGGCTGCTCTGCTGGCTCCTGGCACCCCTCTGCCCACACCGGGCCACCATCAGGGGTGGCACCATCCCCATCCCTGCCTTCCACGCAGTTACACAGCCCTGCAGGATTAATGCCGTCTGTTAATTAGACCTGGGAGGGCCAAGCACTCTGCAGTGTTTCCGTAGACGCGCTGACCATGCTTTATCTCAAAATTATTTCCAGGGACTTTTATTAAAAGGCCCAGAACATCAACCCTTCTGCTTGAAACCAAGCCCAGGGAGTTTCATAAGGACCGTGGTGTTAAATATCTGCAAGAGGATGCACCAACTTTTATCTTTTAGGCCCGGAGTCCTGTCTGGGGCGCTTTTTTTTGATGCAGTAAGGGGAAAAAAAAGGCAATGAGATGACTGTCCTTCTGCGATGTCTGTCCACACCACAAAAGCAGATGGAGACCAGTAATTGATGGCACCAGTAATTGTTCTCCCAGATTAGGCGTTACTGCAAGAGTGCTCTGGGTCTGAAGATACTGAATCTGAAGATTCTCACAGCTGGCTCTCCTCCTCCTCCTCCTCTTCCTCCTCCCAGGGCCCTAGGGACCCTTTGGAGCCGACTGCCCCCCTTCACCTCTCGCATCCCTTCCCTCTTCCCATGGACACCAGCCCCAATTCAGGACCATCTCCAGCTGGAAAGAAGCTCCTGGGACTTCGGGTGTTAAGAAGAAACCCACAAAGCTCAGCTCCATCACCTCACCACAAGGCTTTTGAACTTGCCAGGATCCAGCAGGACCCAGGGAGGAAGGAAACATCCCAAGCATCACAATATAACACCCCTTCAACAGCAATTAAGCCTTATTTTAAGCGAGTATCTGTAATTACGTAAATCGAAACCTCCGAAAGGCCCATGATTTAAGCAATCCCCAAGCAGCACCACCAGCCTTGGCACCTTGGAGATTCGCTGTGTTAATATTTAATCAGCCGTGCAAAACCGTATCCCGCTAGGATTTAACTGCTGCTCCCGAGCCAGGGGAGCCGGCAGCAAATCCTCTCTCTGCGCTGCTGTAAAAAGCAAAAAAATAGGATGAGCCTCAGTGGGAAGAGCCAGCATCCCGAGGCACATCTGGTTTGTCCCCGGTGATGCCACGGGGTATCTTCATCACAGAGGTGTCACCATGATTTTGGGGATGACGTACAGCATCTCAGCAGGGACCAGAGCCCCAACTTCACCCTCTCCTCTTCCCCCACTGCCCCAAGACCGCGGTGTCTCCGTTCACCCCTTCTTGGAGTGATTTGGGAAGCGTCGGTGAGGATCCTCCCCACCAGCCGGTTACCAGAAAGGGTGAGTCACCAAGGGGAAAGCCACAGGCTGCGCCGAGAGCCCCGGGGCGGCCGCAGCGTCGCCCCGCTCCCAGCACACCCAGTTTTAGTGATTTGGGAAGGATCCTCCCCACCAGCCGGTTACCAGAAAGGGTGAGTCACCAAGGGGAAAGCCACGGGCTGCGCCGAGAGCCCCGGGGCGGCCGCAGCGTCGCCCCGCTCCCAGCACACCCAGTTTCCGCGGCAGGAAGCTCCCCCCCTCCCTCCAGTTCCCAAACAAGTTCCCCACTGGTTGGGAAATAGGTAATTCCTGTTCCACCATGAGGAAAAAAAACGCTTATTCACAGCCGGGTGCGAGGATGAAGACGGGGCTGAGGAGGGTTGCTGGGTTCTGAGGCAGGACTGAAGCCACCAATGGGTCTATCCTGTGTTGTCCCGCAAAAAGCAGCTCCCTCCAGCACCAGAAACTTCACCAGCCGAGGCCAGAGAACAAAACCCAGAGGTTTCCACATGAAAACCTTTCAGTTCCCTCCACCTCTTTCCATCGCTGGGGAGAGGCGGCGTTGTGTCGTCCCACACACGCTCTGCTCGGAGAAGCGAAGGTGTTAAGTTCAATGGCATAAATGCAACAAAATGAAATAATCTCCAAAAAGAGCTGCTATTTCTGCCTCTGTTTAAACGCCTCTTTAAAACGAAAGCTCGTCAGCCATAACTCTGACCCAGATTAACGACTGAAAAAATGGCTTGAGAGACCCAAACAGTGAATTCTGGCCAAAGGAAGGAGATCGGGGTTAGAAAGTCCAAAAACTGAATTCACGATGTCCCAAAAAGTTTCCTCTTTTCTTTCTTTCACGATTCTGGGAGCAATCCCTACGGTGATTTCAGAGCATTCCCTCCCAGCTGTTTACTGGAAGCTGAATCAACCTAAATAAATAGCTGCCTTCCTCAGCTCTGCTGGATTATTTTCAGCCAGCAACAGATAGTGCGCTCTTACCGACCGTGAAATAAATGCTAGGGGGAAAAAAAAAACAACTAAAAACTTGTGGTGAAGGCACCTGGTCAAACAGTGCAGCCAAATAATTCACTGGAAGGAGCACGTAACGCGGCGTTCGGGTCAGATCCTGGCTCGTCTGGCAAACGAGCACGCTAATTTGAGACAGCCGGGACAAATACCCACTTTGCTCTATTTTTAAATAGAGGCTGCTCAGACAGATTTGAGCTGCGCCTCATGTTTTGGATGAAAATAAAAAGTGAAAATGTTAGCACACCCAAACACATCATCAAGCCGGACTCTGCAGCGCCTGAGCAAGCGGAGCGCCGGGACACACCACACCGACATGCTCTGCCCTCCCTCCCCGGCCCCCCTGCCTCAGCTCCCCCAAACAGGGCGGGGTTTGCCCAAATGCCTCCTCTTTATGCTCAAAAAATGGGAATATTCCCCCTCCTCACCTGGGCTCTGCCTGCAGGCGGTGGCACCGTCGCTAAGATGCAAGCCCAAGCCTCAGAGCCACCAAACACTACCTGGAGGATGCGAAGCACCTTGGAGCCTCCGTGGAAACATCCCAATCCCCAGAGAAATCACCCCAAAGCATTCTCTTCTCTACCTGCTAATCCCCCCCCAAAAAAGTCCCCTGGGATCAGTGTCCCCCCCCAGCGCGAACAGGAAGGCTGCGAATGGGAACCGCAGCGAGATTTTGAGGGTTTTTTTTTTTAATTCAAAGTGCAAACCAGGCAGAATTGGAAGCAGAAAAAGCCCCTCTGGAACAATCCTGGGGGTGCACAGAGCCGTGGGGGGAGCCGCCGGGCCGGCAGCGCAGCGCTTACACAGCACACTTCAACCACACAGCAGCTTTTGTCCAGAGCAGGAGCAGCTAATTTAGGGAAGGGAGGGGGAAAAAAAACACAAACCCACCAAGTGTTGTCAATCCTCAAAAGCCAAGACAGTTAGAGAACAGGGCGTTTGGCTGCTGGTTACTGGAGAGGAAGAAACCATGCTTTTTTTGTTGTTTTTTTTTAAAGCACATATATGCAATACATCTACCTCTTCGAAACGCCTTCACCGAGCAGCACAAAAAGCTGAAATCTAGACGAGGGAAAACAAAAAGGTTACGCCGTCGTGGTGGTGAACAGATACTGCAGCTACGTGAGGAAACAGGAGGTATTTTCCCCGAGGAAGTTAAAAGAAACACAAAAAGAAGCCCTATTTCCACTAGTTAAGAAAACAAAGGTCTAAACTTCACAAGCAAAACCACTTCTGGAGCAAGGCACCTGAGTCACACACAATAAAAACCTCTTCCATTGCTCTGGAAGATAAGAGTCTAAATATTTCATGTGCTTCTCTCGGGCAGCTCTTATGGAAAAGAGCACGAGTCCGGCCCCAGCTCCGAGTTGGAGCCAATGCTCCTCATCCCAGCAGCTGGAGATGGAAGAAACCCCCGTGGGATGAGGCAGCCCGGCCCCGCCAGCGCGGAACACGGCTCTCCAGAGGGAGATAAAACACTTACCAACACTTGATCTTGGCCAGAAGGCCAAGCAGTGAGTAATAACCCTGAAATCCTCCACACCGATAGATTTGTTAGGACAAATGATGTGAGGGACATGAAACCAACGGCATCAAAGCTGCTGCAAGAGAGTTGGTTAATTCAATTTCTAGACGAGGAGCTCTTGGGTCTTGTAGATTCCTGTCCAGGGTTATCTCTCCCACCATCACTCGCAGTCGCAGCTGATGCCTCATCACTAAATTTACTGGATTAGCACATCCTCTGCCCTACACTTGCTGTACAAGCCCGTGTCTGGAGGCTCCTGGAAGTCACTGGAGAGCGCTGACGTGTCGGTGCCGGCGAGCGGGGAAAAGGCCCCAGAGAAAAAGATAGGGGGAGAGGCAATCTCTGTAACGTTATCTGGGCACTTCTGGCTGCTTTGCAGAAACAGGAAACCCTTCCTCAATCTCTCTTCGCCAGCAAACTGCCAAGCACTTCGGGAGGGGGGCAGCACACCCAGCCAGGCAGAAATAAAAGCCATTTTTTTTAATCCAAGAGGCTGTTGGTTTCTCACGCGGCCACGGGCAGAACGAAGAACAGTTTTCCCCACACACCAGTGTTCTCTAAGAAAGCTTAAACCAGGCACGACATCTACAAAAATCCGTTAAAAAGCCCCAAAACAAGCAACTCCTCCACCTTCTGCAGGGGTGAACAGACAAGGTGCTGGCCCAAGGGGAGGAGAAGAGGAGGAAGCCAAGAGGTTTGAGGCTCCACCGCTCACGTCAGCAGCCGGGCGCTGACCTCACTAAACTCCGGACCCACCGTTTGGGGCTAATCCCAGCGATTCCAGGAAAAGAGGCACCTTCACAGCTAGAACTAGTTTATCTGGGATAACCCCAATCCAAAACCAACGCAACTCCCCAGGGCTGGGAAGAAACCAGTTTTCCTTCGTTGTCTCGTCAGCAGAGCAGACCTTGACCAAAGATCAGTGGTCACAAGAACGCCCACAAACACAACCCGCCGAAACATCTCAGCTGACAACGAGCTGCTCCCTCGGCTAATAAACATTTAGAAATAGATTTAAAAAAAAAAAAAAAAGCCCTCAGAGTCAAATAAATGAGACTCAGATGCAGGATGTCTTCGGCAGCAGAGGATGGAGCAGCCCATGGAGCAGCAGGCAGATGGCAGGACTAAAGGGTGGAAACTCTGAAGACAAAAAGGACAGTGAGCGAGGAGCTTCCAGCATCTGCTGCTGCCTCCTGGCCCTACTGCTTCCCTCTCCCCGCCCCGGGGGTCCCTCCTGCTCCCCCAGAAACACCAGTTTCTGAGGTACAGCAGACACACAAACTCTTTGGTCCTCGTTATCGAGCCGCTTGGGAGGCAAAGAGCACCACGGAACTGCAGAAATCACAATTAAAAAGACAATAAATCAGTGAGGATGGTCCAGCAGAAGAACCTTCAGCTTCGGGGAGAGGAGACACGTAGGAGCGAGGGCAAGCGCAGCCGGGATTCCCATTATTGCTTTTCCGTGTGGTTCAGAGCTAAACCAGCTCGGGGGGAGGAGGAGGAGGAATGGGATTATCTCAAGTTTCCCAGCAGAACGAGGGTCAGACTTCATTTTGCTGAAGGTATTTTGGACAAGACAGCTTTCTGGAACATCTGATGGCGAGTCCTGCCCCGGTGACCCACAGAAGAGCTGGGGAGACCCTCCTTTCCCCCCACAGCAGCATCTTCTGGCTCGCTGGCTTCACACGAGGTTGAAAACAGATTTGAAAACAGATCCCAGGGTTGGCCAAAGCCCCTGGGTTTTACACTCTGCGTTACTCCCACTTTCCACCAAACCACTGCCACGGTTTAATAACGTTTAAGCCGATCCCCACTCCCAGACAGCGGCATCTATTCAAGAAACACCAAAGCACCAGGTTTTCCAGGGGGTCCATGAATTCAAAGTCCAGCTTTAGGGCTACTGGGAGCTTCTTTGGGGATACAAATCCCAAGGATAAACGCTGCCAGCCTTCCCAGCCCGCTCCCAAACATCACCCAGCCCCGACCCCAGCGGAGCGACCGCGGGACCGGCTCAAACCTGACCCCAAAGGGAGCTGGCTACGGGGAAACCCGAATTAGCATCCTGCCAGCCGTGCCACCTCCTCAATTTGGGGGCAGACAAACAATCCTCTCCCAGAAGAGCAGGATTTAGGTCAGATATAAGGTACCTTCCCGCCCTGGGAGCGCTCTGCTTTTTAAACAAGGCAGAGTCCGTGGGGACGCAGCGAGGAAATACGTTTAATCACCATTATCACACAGGAAAGGGTAAGGACAAGTGTGATACTTCGCCTGGGGGGAAACGAAGCCCTGATCCCGGAGAAGGTGAGCGGAGGGAAGCAGCACAGGCAGCATTCATTCACCTCCATCCCCAAAATAAAGCCTTTTCAACCCCACAGGGCTACCGGGGGTGACGGGGAGGGGAAATAAAACACCGAGTGGCCCCTTTCAACAACACAGGGCAGAGCCACAGGGAGGGAGGAACAGCTTCTACTTTCCAAAGGGAAATTCAGTTATAATTCAGGAAACGGTCCTCCAGTCAGCCCTGTCCCCCCAAAACCACACGATTCTCACTCGCTTTCTAGCTACTGCTTCGCCAGATGAGCTTCCCTGACAGACCAATCTGTCATTTACTCAGACACGCTGGCTCCTACCTTTGTTCCTTCCAGGGTAATCTTTTGTCTCCAGCTTAAAGAAAAGGAGCTTTGCCCCAGGCCAGGGTGGGCATCACACACACAAGCACCACAGAGGGATGGGGGGAGTTTGGGTGACAGGACCCGGCTGATGGTACCAACCTGTGACACCCCCAGAGATGTCCCAGCAAAAGAGAGATATAATTTTTTTATAACACAGACGGGACTCGGAGTCACTTTCCTATTTTCAGCTTGAGGATGATGAGCCATTCAGATGTTTCTATTTAATAAAAATCACCTTCCCTCCCGCACGCCGAGCCTCGGCCGGGTGGGATCAAGAAAGCTCTTGTTTTTCCTATTTTCAGCTTGAGGATGACGAGCCATTCAGATGTTTCTGTTTAATAAAAATCACCTTCCCTCCTGCACGCTGAGACTCGGCCGGGTGGGATCAAGAAAGCTCTTGTCCCTCTTGCAGGAATCTGAGGGGACAGCGAGTCTTTCTGGGGGTTTTACATCTTCCCTAATGGCTCTGAGCCTGCTCTCAGCTCACTTCACACGTTCGGGATGATCTCCCTGTCCCCAGCAGCCATTCTGAGAGCAATTCTTTTGTCTGTGGAGTCCAGGGAGGGGCCTGAAGCCGGGGTGACAATGAACTCTCAACTCCCTCGGACCCGTAATTATAAAGCAGCCGCGGCACCCAAGGCACAAAGGACCAAACAACTGAAATCCCACATTAGCATTTTTTGGCACACGCTGCTTCAAAGCGCGAGCAGGAAAATGAGGAAAAACCTCTTTGGGTGTTTCCCCAGAGAGTTGAAATACCCGCTGAGGCGGGGAGAGGGGGAACCACTGCCTGCCTGGCCTGGGAAGGGCTTCAGAACCATCCACGTCCCCTTTATCCACGCTGGATGATGCCAGAGCAAACTGCACCGTGAGCCACTGAGGATAACAATGCCCCAAAAAGCCGTGGCAGGGCTTGAGGTGGTTTAAGGGTCACCAAGGAGCAAAGCAAAACCTCGTGTCCGAAACAACAACCGGCCTCCTTTTGTCCCCTGCTTCCACCAGGGAGCTCCTCCGACACCCAAGACAAGCAAGACACAGCTACAGCCCTCAGATCTTCCAGCTCAAACTATTTGTTGCCACTGTCTGGCCCAAAAATCAGTCCTGCTGCCCTCCCAGGGAGAAAACAAAAGCCCCAGGTAGGGCTCTGCCCCCATGTTTGCTCAGGACCTCGTTATTGCAGCGGGGAAGGTGCAACAGGCAAGGCAGGAGAATGTCTCCTCTTGGCAGGAGGATAAAGACAGGAGCTGGGGACACCTCCGGAGGGGGACAGCCCTGGTGGGACCCTGGCACGGGCAGCTCTTCAGCAGCCACATCACCCAACACACGGTGGCTGAGCCCTTCCAGCACCCCTTTCTGGATCACCCTCCTCAGCTCACAGCTCTCCTCATCCCCAGCTCTTCCCGAGCTCTCCCGGGAGCTGCGGAGGAACCGGGTCCTACTCAAAGCCCAAAGGCTGCCCGGGGCAGGGGGTGATCACCCGGAGAGGCCCCAAGTGGGGCTGAAATCCGAGGTTTAAAGCCCGCGCCGTCAGGGATCAGCCGAGGTGAACGCACGTCACGGTACGGCCCACGTCACGCGGCGGAGGCTCTGTCACAACCAGAATCCAAATCCTGTGGGAAACGGGCGGTAGCCAACACCTCGCCGGCCGGGGAAGCAAACAATGGCAATTATTCCAGCAGGAAGGGAGAAGAGATTTACTCGTGTACTTGCATATTTTCTCTTAAGTAAAGCTCTCAAAACCCTTCCAGCTCTCTGAAGCCGGCTGCTCCTCCTCCTCCTCGGCTCAGAAGAAGACCAAGATCTCAAAGGAAGCCCTAAAGCAAAAGAAAAGGACCCCGGGGGGGACTCACCCCCAGACACTCAGCCCTGGGCTGAGGCACCACGGCTGCTGCAGCCGAGAAAGACCAAAGCACTCTCTTCTTCCTCACAAAACTGGCTTTTTGGTCGGCTGCTACAGCCGAGAAAGACCAAAGCGGTCTCTTCTTCCTCACAAAACTGGCTTTTTGGGACCGACAGGTACTGCCTCCCCCGAGCCTGCTCACAGGGCGAGGAACGGCGGTGTCTGTCTGCGAAGCTGCCCAAAGGACACGGCTGAGGAGCCCAGAAATTGAGCACAGAGAGACATCCCCAGTGGGTGATACTTCACCAGCTCTGCCACAACGATTAAAGCAGCTTCTTTTATGGTGGTGTCCAGTAATCTGAACCTAATCTGGCCCTAAATACTTCTAGAAGAGGAGCAGGGCTGCAGCAACCCTCCCAGGGCACCGAGCAAAGCCGGGGTTCAGCCACAAGTCCTGCCGGGGGGTCTCTTCCTTCCTCGCAGCCATTTGGGTGGCAAGTGCCATCGCGCTGACCATGAAGCCCCAGCATATCGCATGGTAATCAATAAAAATCCTGGCCACTCTCCACCAGAGAAGCTCAGGAAGGATGACTGAGTCTTGCCAAATGCAAATTTCAAGGCTTCGAGAAAGTCATTATGGTTTCTGGCCACAAACGAGTGTGAAGAAGCTGGTCTGGGGGCTGTGGGAAGGGGAATATGGCTCTCGATTTCCCCAAGAGCACTGCCAGAGCTGTGAAGCACTGGGAGGAGACAGAGTCACAGGTTTAAGAACCAAAAGTGCCCCGTTTTATCCCAGAGGAGGTTTCCACCCACCGCTACCATCCCTCTGCGGGGACGAGGACAGTGCCCAGTTCCAACCCTGCGTGTTTCTGGTTCAGCTCACGTTTCAAACCAGCGGAGCAAGAGACACCCTCAGCCCTCAGAGGACTTCAAGGCCTTTCCCTTGGCTCTCCCCGGCTCCGGTTCCAGTCACCAAAACCCATCTAACCAGAAGATGTTTACGCTCCCGCAGCATCTTGCCTCCCACAGGTGCCAAATGGCTCTGACGAGCCACCTTCGCCTTGCCCAACACCACATGCAACAGAGAAGAGAATGTCTCCACCGGGGAGACGCTCTCCTCCCCCTTCCCCGCCACGGTCCTGACTAAGGGAAGGTATTTGGGGTCCCCCTGCCCCTCGGTGCCCCAGCAGCCAAGTCCGGGGACCCGCTGCCACCCCCGAGGCAGAAGACCTGACTCACGGCTCAGGCTCTAAAAGTCCAAAGGAACAGAGAGTCAAGTTTCCCCTGGCACCGACCGCTCTGCTCCCCCCACCCCATCGCAGGGCCCCTTCCAACAGAACCCAGGACTCTCTCCCCCCTCCAACGACCCTTTTTCTAGGGGATTTTCAAGCCTCCCCCCTCCCAGGACCTGCGTTTATGCCTGGAGGGTCCCGAGCACACACTGCAGCCTCCTCCCTTGGAAAGGTCAGCCCTATATCCACCTCCCACGGCGAAAGCACAGACCCAGCCCACCCCACGGAGCCCTAGAGCACCCCACGGAGCCCCAGCCCACCCCACGGAGCCAGCTGGCCTCCACGAAGCCCACCC